GCGGATATCAGTATCAGAGATCGCTATAAATACGGTTTCTTGTAGCATTGATACATGGATACACATTTTTACTGACTTAAAAACTAAATTTACCAAGCTTTTAAACTACGGAACAGTAATACAGATATTGTTTCAGTCTCACACACAGGGGAAAAAAAAGAATAGAAAAGTTCAACTTTGTATATGATAGAATACACAGATATCGATTACGCCAAACAGTTGAACGTCTATATCGATAAAATCAATTCAAACAATTCTAGTTAACGGAAAAAAAATCAATCAACCATCAATGTGAAAAGCAGCTATATACCAATAGCTTCTCAAACTTTCATCTCTCTATTTTATGAAACTGTAAAATGCTTATTAAAGCATTGAACAGAAAAAATGTCTTTTATTGATAAAGACTTTATGATGGACACAAATATGAAAAAAATTAGAAAAATTCGTAGAATCCTAAAAATATTACTAATAAAACAAGATATATGTTGTTTTATTTATTATGTAATCATTTTTAATTGGATCCAAGAAATTAGATATTACACTTGGTTCAACTTTTGTCCGTTGGTTTGAAGCATCTGCTCTTTCTTTCTCACGTTTCAAACATTTATAATTTCGATTTTTCTCTAATCGCAATTCTTTTCAGTGATTCGATTGATTATGCCAAAACGGCGTACTCGTTCTTGGGTTTCATTACGAGTTATAATCAATGATTCTTGTTTTCGTATTGTTTGATTTTCTGATAAAACATTAAAACGCGTCCGTAACCGATAATCAATTTTCTGTTTGCGTACACGATTTTTATACGCTTCAGAGTCAATTTACTTTTGTCGTTGTCGACATTTACGCATTCTTCGAGCATGTCCAATAAGAAACGTATCTTGCATAATTGATTTCATTGTAAAATAAATCAATAAAAACAGTTTGTTCAATGTAAAAAAAATAGTTCCAATAAACGCTTTGCATTAGATATTTCAAAATACTGCGCTTGCATAAGAAGAAAATATAGAATATTGTTGAAATTAAATAGTTATCTTTCAGTTTAATAAAACTCATAGTGAATTTATTTGGAAAAAATAAAAATAGGATATTGCAAATATTTTTATTCAAGCATAAAAATAATTTTATGCGATGGCTCGGAAACGAGCTGACAATAAAAAATGGAAATCAAGACCATCTCGTAAAAAATCTAAAATCGTAATTCAAAATCAAGTAAAGTTCGTAAAATTAATTAAAAACCTTCTCGTCCATTAAAACCATCTCAACAGAAAAGAAAAACATTAAAACGTACAACTGACACCTGCAATGTTTACCAACTCTTGAGACAAACATTAATGAAGAAGTCTTTGATGGAACATTTATACATATTTCTTACTGAAAGGTATAACAATTACACTAAACATTTACTTTATCAACTAAAAAAATTCTATCATAGATATTTATCTGAAATTCGATAATCATGGTATTTTTGTAGATGTTGTACTTGTGAACATTCCTCTTCTATCCATGCAGTCAAAAATATGATTTTGACGCGTTAAAACGGTACCCTTTTTTCTATTGTGTAACGCATTTCAAACCACCAAAAATGTCCGGAAAAATGCATTTTAACGAACCACTTTTCCTCACTCGTGACCAGTTAAAATGGGCTTTTAAACAACTCGTTTTAATAGGTTTCTGAACAACGCATTATAACTCGTAATTTCGGACATTTTTGATGGTGTACAATCCATTAATACTATTAACGTTTTCAAGTGTTTCCTATATGATCGTTTTAACATATTACAATTACTAGTAAAGTACAGTGTTCACTAGTAAATAATAGATTTTAGGTAATATCGTTTCTAAGGAATTAATAATGCAAAGATTAGACTAATTTAGGGATTGATAAACTTTTGACGGAAAATCTATGCTCATTGGAAGATGGGTGTCCATGATCAACAATAACTTATAATTGAAATCATTCTGATGTTCTATTTTACGTTGAAAATAACATGAGATGTTCTATAATAATGACATAATCGCTGCGACCTTGAAGCTCTTATCTATTGTATTCATTATGCGATAATAGCATCATTATAAAATACTTCGTGCTATTTACAGCGTAAAATAGAACATTAGAATGATTTCAATTATAAGTTATTGTTGATCATGGACACCCATCTTCCAATGAACATAGATTTCCATCAAAAGTTTATCAATCCCAAAATTAGTCTAGTCTTTGCATTATTAATTCCTTAGAAACGATGTTACCTAAAATCTATTATTTACTAGTGAACACTGTACCTTACTAGCAATTATAATATCAACTTACGTATGTCATGATCATTCTTTACTTATTCCAATCGTGGCTATAACTCCTTGAAGTACATCAAATAATTCTTTAGAATTAAATATTTAACTAAGAAAGATGCAGCAAAGTCTATAATAGAATGCTCTACGTAAGAACTATAAAAATTTTCTAATACAGCTAATCAAAATCTTAACACCAAAAATCTCTCTGCTTCTGCCGCGCGTAACATTATTCGATGTCTGTTTATTGCTCAATGATGGATATGTAGTTTCAATAATAAAAATCATTCAGAAATGAAAGTCTTTTTGCGAAAAGAAATAAAACACTCCGAAATTTATTCTTATCTTATCTATATTGCAAGAGAAACTGAAATTGAGTAGAATTTTAATTTCTACTGCGACGCCTATGTCATAAAATTTTCTATTGATTTTATCTTTTAATGAGAATAAAATACTTTCATATAAAAAAGAAATCTATAATTTTGAAAAAATCGTCATATGCATTTTTCTACATTCTAATAGTTATTGCTTTAATCTCAGTCGACGAAGTTTTTGTTGTTAAAACGAGGCTTAATAATTTCAATACTGACGAGACGTTTAATATATAAAAAGACACAACTTATTTTATTCACTTGTTTAGAGAGGATAATCAAACGAACACGAGCATTAGCAAATAAAAAGTCACATAAAAGATTATCATTAAATAAATAATAAAATAATTAAGCGGAACTTCGTTGTGTTGATATTTACAATTTTAATTAATCGACTATATGTGTGAGCTGTAGAAAGTAAAGAACACAACAACACACTTAATAGTCACTTTTGCTGTTCTTTAGCTCTTCAAGACAAAGAAACAAAGAACATCGATTCGATTGGTAGATTCAATCACAGCGAAATAGAAGGAATATTTTCTCGAAGTGTATGTTCTACCTGTTATTTTTCTTGATGTAATTATATAGTCAGTTGCGATTAAGAAAAAAAAACGAATCCGTCACTAGTTTATATGGTCGTTGTAATGTAAAACATTTGTCTAGTTACAATTTCTTTTGTTCTCTGTAACTGTACTTTCATCTATCTCCGTTCTCTCTCTCTTTCCACTATGGCTATAAATACGCAATACGCGTGATGCGTACGTGCATTTATAAATACTACGATTGGAAACACTATACAAGTTCACATCGCCTTTTACATTTTTGCCTGTTTTAGATTAAATTTTATTATTTGGCTCGACTACGTCTGATTGCTATCGTTGCCAGTGTTACTGATTACAATTACAAGTTATTATTTGCATCATAAACATCTTCCGATAATGACTAAGCGAAAAGCACCTCTAATGAATAAAGAAAACGATAATACAAATGCATATGGTACTGGTTTATCTGTTAAAAACACCATGGTAGAAAAAATGCAGGTATGAATATACTATCATTAGATGAACGATGTGTTGTGGAATTTTCCGTTATTTAATTTTTGTTTTAGTTGTTGAGTGTACAGTTACAACACCAAAAACTGTCCCACATGATCAACATAAAGACGTAGCTAACTTTGATGATTCACCACTAAAACTCGTTATTGATATTAATTAAGAAATACTTTCATCTCAATCGATTACAACTGATAATGCTTCACAAATTGAATTATCTCAAGAACGTTTGTCAACTCGTACAGATATTATTGATCAATCGAATAGCGAATGTCTATTTGAAGAAAATCGGTATGATATGTTACTTATCAGAACAAAGGCATAGCTTTAAGAAAATCTTGTCTTGACAAAAACGATATCTTTGAATTCAAGCGAAACTACGTTTATCATCAAGAAGATTTAATATAAATACTAAATGAACAAGACCAGTCTGCAATCTTTCGTAACTGATAAAAAGATTAATATTTGTATATCAGAGCATCAACCAGGCCGTGTTTTTGTAGGCCTGGCCGGTCCGCGACAGGCCTTTGCATTTCAAGCCTGCCTGTGCCTGTCAACTAATTTGCTTGGCCTGGTCTGCCTGTCTGTCATTTTCTACGACCTGCCTGACCTGTCTGTCAAGGCCTGACAAGGCCTGGGAATTTTTTTAATGCTAATACCATTACGAGGATAGAATAGAAACATGTAATTAATGTTGAGAATGAAGAAAACCAGTTTAATTAATTTAATATGACTAGATTAAGCATTTACTTACCGAAGTTTTCATACAAAAAATGAGGAAACATTGGATTTGCATCCGATTGTTGTGTACCGCAAAAACTGAGTCGATTTATATATGTATTGAATAATTCTGAGAAAAAAATTTTGTTTTTGAAAAAATCCCTGTACTCCCCCTCAAGGATGGTCTGGTCAATAATGACAACTTTTTCGATAACTCAGCCATTTCTTGACATATTGCTTTCATCTTCGAACTCGACTGAGATATTGATGAGATCATTCTGTGTACAAATTTCATGTTAATTAAATGAGGCTTTCAAAAGTTATCGTGTTAACGGCCGGACACACTGACCGAATCTAGGGTGTACTCATTTTTTTNCATTGTATTATACATCAGAACTGGAATGTAGACAGAGCTGGAAAAGAACTAGAACATCGAAGAATGGAGTAGTGTAACTAACATCATGTATATACCGAGGATAGCGGTAACACAACTCTTCCAGTTTCTCTTTGTGATCACAAATAAATAAAATAAAAGCTGCAGCAGTAACGAATATAAACTATCCATTTATCGTCAAACAAAATTCGTTACAATGGAGTCGAGAGAAAATGCATTCTTTTTATCATTAGTTGAACTGTTGCAAATTTGATTATGGCGAAAAGGTCGAATAGGTGTATTGGATGTATGATTAAGATTAAGATCTTCATTTAATTCACGTTGGCGTCGATCAACCGATACAACGATACGATCAGCAGATAATGGTGTTCGACTAATGGATGAGCTTTGTCCTGTAATGCATCGATTGATTACTGGTGTTCTACAAGAAAAAAATATATCAGTTTTTCTTTATTGCATAGTTTTAAGAAAATGAATATTAGTCTAAAAAGATTCCTATGTACTTTTCACTGACTCATGACATAGGAAAACAACATACATTCATTTTTATCAGAATAACATTAAGCTAAAACAATATCAAATGTATTGAAGCTTTTACCTACAATATAGAATTTTTTTTTTCATATATGAAATCTATTTAAAACATGTAGTGGCTATATTCATTTTGGCATAGGCCATGACCTTGAGGCCGGACCCTCGTCCAGGCAGGCAGGCAGCTTAAAAACACCAGGGCGCCTGGCCTGTCTCTATTTTTTATATTTATAATTTTATTTTTGATATAAACGTTTTTAATTGAATGTGGCGCTAATAATCAGATGAAGTATAGAATACTGTTCTATGCTCTGTGCTCATTTGTGATTGATCCAAATGATGACTAATGTTCAGTTCAAATTGCGTAGTTCGTTTTCTTTCTCCATTCGCTTGCTGTGTTTTCATTTATCTGCTGGACTAGCTGTAACAGAACGTCGTTCTTCTTTGGATCGTCAATTTTTAAATGATATTCTCTTTGTGAGATCCATTCAAAACATTTTTGAACAAATACAAAACTTTTTTTCTTAATGTTATACCATGCTGTCTCTGATGTAT